TCGACGAGTGGCAATAACTGTCCTTACCAGCAGGCAGCGGTAGTGTGAAAAGCCAATCAGAGTGATTGCTTGGGCCGACTTTCTCTGACCGAGGTGTGAAAAGGTGCCGTAAAGAGACGACGGTGCAGGACACACCAACCTGAGTAGGGCGCCGCGAATGCCCGACTGCCTCTGACTCCCAAAATCAGGTTGGTGTGTAGCCAGCTTTAGGATAACTCAGAAGACCTGTTGGCTGAGACACCTACTGTATGTAAATCTGTGAGCCATCACTGACTTGATCAGCATAGGGCTGACAACAAAGTGAATTAAGCCTCATCTAAATGTAAATGAGGTTTTATACCTTTGGCAAACAGCTTACATAACCAGTGTCTATTTTAATAAACCAATTAGATTTTATTCTGTGCTATACCAACGCAACAAAATCTGTTCTTTATAAAAATCTACATGGCATACAGATAGTTGTCGACAAAAGGACGGAAATAAGAGGGAGGGGGGGTAGAAAAGCTCACTGAGTTATAGGTCTGCATATATTTCAAATGGAAACGTCTGCTGGAATGCCGTAGTACAGCCATTCAATCTGGTGTGAGAGGAGTAAAATAGACATAGACTGTCATGAAAGAGCATTTGAATAGCTCTGAGGAATAGTCTGCAGAACATGCAGAACAAGAGGCAGGAGCTCACACACCAGTGTCCAATTTCCCTCCTGTCATTGGTATCACAGATATTAAAGTGAATGTATGAAAAACAGCAAGGCATTTCAAAAGCATACTGATACTTCAGGTCTGCACGCTGCCTTATCAAGTGGCAATATGACAACTACTTCAAAATAATATGGCATGCTTGTGGCTAGAAACACCTAGACATCTTGTGTTGTTTTAAATCTTATGACATGTTAGTTATTATATGCATGAGTATAAACAACTCTAGCGAAGAAAACATGTTCATTTTTTCAAGATACTATTACTGTATAACAATCCATAAAAGTTTATTGTAAATGTTCAGAGAAACAAAAATGATTCACTGATGTCATGCCGAGGTCGTGCAATGTAACTCGGCGAAAACAACGCAAGCATTTCCCAAATTGGGATCAATAAAGTACTTATCTATATATCTATCTATCTATCTACAGTATATATCTATCTATCTATCAATCTATCTATCTATCTATCTATCTATCTACCTACCTATCTATCTATCTATCTGTCTATCTATCTATCTATCTATCTATCTACCTATCTATCTACCTATCTATCTACCTATCTACCTATCTATCTATCTATATATCTACCTACCTATCTATCTATCTATCTATCTATCTATAGCTATCTATCTATTTATCTCAGTTAAACATGTGACCAATGTGTAACTAACAACTAACAATTAAAAGTATAAAACTGTATGTCTGTCTGTATGTCTTGTTGAAATGATGATGTTCATTGAATGTATGAATAGAATAGAGTGTATCCAGTACATTTTGCATGCATTTTCTAAAATTGCCTCCACTGGATGGTTAAATACCAAACTTACAGAAATGTTTAAAGGTTTATAGTTTAAATAGATAATTGGACTTGACACAATAACTAATTAGGTGAACAGGTTTGCAATTATTAGAAATGAGAGGTTAATAGATCTACAATATTAAAAGTTATCCAGACAGTGAAAGAACTAACAGCAACTAATACCAAGGCTCACTTTAAAGTAAGGCGAACAAAATCACTAATGCTTAAATGAAACCGCAACAGAGCATTAATTTGACATTAGCCGACAAACATCAATTCATCCCCCATTCTAACTTTAGTAATGCATTTACTGGAAAGAGATTAATATCAATTCCATAAATCATTCAGGAGATACATCCGGAGCCAGGGACTCTGGTATGTTAGCCGATCTCAGTGTGGAGGCTCAGCGCACATTAATCAATGTCTGAGCTCCTCTGGCCATGTCATCTGGGGAAAAAGGCACATTTATAAAAAGGGCGATCTCCACACCGATTTCTCCGCACAATCCTCCTAATGTAACATATTTAGATCTTTACGCCGCGGATGCACTCACCTTCATATGCCTTTTGTCTATGTATTAAACTGTGGATAAGATTCCCTATTTCATTATTCATCCTGTTATATGCCCCAAAAAGATAGTTTTTTTTACACAGGCCTAAGACATGTGACAACTGTAAGAAAAAAAGTGTAAAATATGATAGTTAAAAACCCACTTTGGAGAACAACTTGACATTAAGGCCAATAACCACAAAGTAAACAGGGTCAAAGTGAAGCTTATCTTAGTTAAAAGGTCCCCTATTATACTCTTTTTCACCAATATATCACAGGTCTCAGATATATACAGAACCTGTCTCTGATTGGCTGAAACACCAAACAGATCATTGCAGCATCCCATAATCCCCTCTGTTTCAGCCCTGTTTCCAAAGTGCTGATTCTCTGTCTGTTACTTTAGATGAAAACAAGGAGCCCCTCCCCACGCCCCTCTGAGAGAGATTTGGTTACAAAGAACTCAATGGTGCTCTAGGAGGAGATTCAGGTGATAAGGTGGGGGGGGGTTACATTGGTTGCTGATTGGCTAATGGTTACGGCCCGTCCACACGGCGGCATGCGTTGAAGCTTCAACGCTTCTGCCCATTCACTTTGAATCAATCAAATCATATGCCAGTACAAGCTCTAGCCAATCAAACCGCGTGCTTGTGTGTCCGGGCCGGGAGATTCATGTGATTGGTTGTTGGTCGAGCTTCAGACACGCCCGCCGGCATGAAAATCCAAAGGAAAAATTATTAATAATATGATTGTATTGCACGCCTTGCTCTAACAAAAGATGTGAACAACGTTTCAGGGCGAGCAGACATCAATTATACGTAATATATATATATATATCTCTTTCCAGACACACATAGAGAAGAATAGGTAAAAGGTTGCTGCAAGGAAATAGCTCAAACAGAACCTGCTTTCAAGTCCCTGCATTGACTTCTAGTTATTCATAATAAAGATTTTAAGAGCCTATACGTCTTTGTATAAATGTGTCAATGATTATACTGTTGCCATGATATGTTGCAGTCTTAATTAAGCTCTCATATAAACAGAGACTTTATCCACAAACCTCAATCAATAAACTTTGCTTTTGTAACACAAAACATTTCCCAAATCGGAATCAATAAAGTTCTATCTTATCTTATCTTAACCAAACCCTAGAATAGCCTTAGACCCTAGAATAGCCTTAGGCCCTAGCCACACGGAAACAAAAATGAACCAAATTCGATATCAAAAAAGTATTCCATCCACACGCAACAGGCACCAGAAACGTGTCCTTGCACACGAGACCGCTCGACCCGCTGAAGACGCTGTAGTACTTATGCCGGGCCTGTAAGTGGCGCTGTACTTCCGCCACAAAATACACCAAAAGCAGCGAAGAAGTCTTCCCGAGCATGCATGGTTGCCCTTCTGTTTATTCTCCGCGGTGGATTTAGCAGTAGAGGTGGGGAGAGGCAGGGCTCTGGCTGTTTCTCTTTTTCTCCCTCCCCGAGACAAGCGTGTTCTCCTGCTGTAATTCTCCCCGGTTAGTCCACCAGCAGATGAAAAACACCCACCTCTCCGCCTCTTCCAAGGGACGAGGGAACCGTGAGGCAGAGTTTCCGTTAGAATTTTTTTTTATAGGGCGTAATCACGGAGCCGTTTGGCCCCCCAGAGCGTTGCGTCCGCAGATCTACCCACCTTGGGACCCGTTATCGTTATCCGCGTTTCCCTGTCGGCCTCGTGTGGCCGATCCGTCTATAAGATAGAGAACTGTAGCAGATACGACCCGTTTCGTCACCGTGTGGCTAGGGCCTTAGTGGGCTTGAATCAGGTTCTGTAAACCTCATGTTGTTTTCTTTCAATATAAAGCACTGTGAAAGATAATAAACACTGAAAATAAAACAATTATTAGAAGCAGTATTAATAGTAGAACTAGTGTTGGTGATAGTATTTGTTGAGGCTTATTTCTTGACTCAAAAAGGTTAAAAGAGACGGCTGTGAAAGTGTGAAAGCAAGGCAAATATACTAAGCCTAAAAAGTTACACATTCAAAAGATTTCTTCTTTATTCTCATACTTGATAAACACCACATCGTGGGTTGAAACATTAAAGCCTGATAAGGTTGGATAAAAAAGATGGTGTCAATCCATGCAAACATTGAAAAGGCAAAAGGTCCTTAATGTCAGCTGGAGTTTGCATACTCAGCTAATGCTATGCAAAGGCTAGAATTTGTGTACTGCTGTCAAATATAATCGATCTACTTTTAATAGGAATTCTAGCCGCAGTAGTTTGAACAAGCTGGATGTTTTAATGTAAACTTTAGGATGCAGTAGGCGGCATACAAATAATCCAGTTTGGATTCAACTAAGGTGTTTCTGTGTCAGCTACCACTGAGATAAGTTATTATGAGTGCAGTTTTTTAATAGGAGATGCAAAATAGAGAGGCTGCATAATTGTATAGAAATTAAAATAACTGGGTACTATCAGCTTTTCTTGCATTGCAAAAGTCAAGAAACAGCGTTTTTGGTCTATTTGCAGTTAAGTAGAATATGTCAAATAAATGTCACCGTACTACACTATATTAAAAAACGGATTATATTGCTGTTTCACATTAAAAGCTCATAATAGTTCAATGTTTTCGTGGGCAATATTGTAATTTTACAGGGTTTTACAGAACATCTAAAGATAAAAAGATGTGTTGATTTTGTTGTGACTGACAAGTTAAGGCTAATTATACATTAGTTTGTTTTATGTTTATTTCATTCTCTTCGCTTTTTTAATGACTGTTTTAATGTCTTTTTTTCAAGCACTTTGAATTGCCTTATGTTGAAAGTAACTTATATAAATAAACTTGCCTTGCCTCAGGCATGATCTCTAATATCAAACAAACTGTCTGTAAAATATTCACCTCTTCGTTTTATGAACATCTTAACTTGACACCTGATTTTCTGACTGTAACACAGTTTTAAAGTTTAGCACTCACCACTCTCAAAGCAAGCATCAAACAGCAGATGTCCTTTCCGCGGCGCTCCGGAGTAACCTGGCGGGGTCACCATCAGTTTGTTTACGTTCCCCACCAAGGCGTCCTCTGCCCCCGCTTCACTGCCTGGAAAACAGGTGCAATAAGTAGCATTAACAGGAGTGTCACTTTATGCAAAGGTGTTGATTAGAATGTGTGAAGTAAGCCTTTTCTGACTTCCTTCTAAAGTATGTAAGCCCTTATCGAGAAGATGAATCACTTCGTCTCTCTTACAGAATAACAGATGGCTGACCTTAAAATAAAAACATATGCTGCCATACAGATTTTTTATTTTACTGGTGGTGTGCAAGTGAGGTACTGTCATTCTGATGTGTCTTAGATATGATTTAAGATGTTCTAATGTGCAAAAATGTTATTATTTGATTTGATAATTTATCTTTTACCACCTATTACCACAATCAATACACTTACGGTAAATCTATTTAGACTGACAGAAAAGCAATATGCTTTATTTCAAGAGTTCATTAACCTCTCACTTGTATCTGTGATTATATGCCTATGAAAAACCAAATAACTAATGTTTACAACATTAAACAGCACAGCAGTAGTTTAACCAGGCTACTTTGGGGGGAAAAGGTTATGAGGTCATCCTTAACTTTCAGAATCAGAGAAGAATCAGAACATCCTTTCCATCACACATTGGTGTAACTTAATTTCGTAAATAGGAATAGACACAAATAAATAAAAGCAGTGAAAAAACACAGAGGTAGCAGTAATGAGAAGGCACTACGAATAAATTAAATGTCAATGTACATGTCTAATGTTATGTGATGAAAACACATCTGCAGCAACTGAATATATCTGAAGCTTCGATTTTTATAAAGTGTTATTGCTTGCATGTAAATATATATTCATTCAATATATGACCATTTATGAGGTAGGCTATATTATATTTTAAGTGGAGGGCTGTGCAGAGAGGTATAGGGAGGTAGTTATTGCTTATACGTAAATAAACCTGTGTGTGTCCAGGCATTATGGGTAACTGTCAATTAACATCAGTAGTACCGACAGCAGGTTCATTAGCTACACAGCAGGAGGAGCTATCCCCAGGTAACAGAGCTAGCTAGCAGATACTGGTAGCAAACACACCTGCATAGGCTTACGTTGTACTCTAAGTGAAGTGGTTAACAAGCCAGTATTATTCCTTGAGGTAAATTGCAAGCAAATACTGTGTTAATTAACCGGCTAACGTAATTAGCAGCAGCGTTAGCTCTTAACAAGCTAATGACATGTCTCTTGTTTACATTCCTGCACCTGCTATGCTAGCTAGTAGGTTAGCACACTTCACGTTAGCGTCCGTTTTAAGACGCGGAACGAGCCCGAAACATGCAGCTTTTATATCTCAGACAACGGGGCATTATTAGCGTCCTTTGGGCTTGTCTAGCAACGGAGAATAAGCCAGGTGAGGCTCGTATTTACACACCAGTCTCGACGTCTCTAGCTGTGTTTTCCTCCATCTTCCTCTCCATTCTGTCACACAGCGGCAGCGGACGCTCCATGTGTGTTGCCAGGGCAACGGAGCAGGAGGCAGAGGGAGAGGCGCTGTCATTAGTGAGTCCTTCAGGAACACAGGACACCACTTTATACACTTTCTAAACACTGCAGCAGGTAAGAGGAGTGCAGATGTTGGATTAAATGCACTTAGATGTCAGGGTAACAACGGGCGTCAATCGTTATCAAATTCAGCAAGATCAGTCCATTTCTAATGCTAAATCATCATCTCAAGAGCCCAGGTGGGAAGTAACTACATTTACTCAAGTACTCAACTTAAGTACAATTTGTACTTAGTACTCCTACTCCACTACAGTTCAGAGGTAAATGGTGTACTTTTACTCCACTACATGTATTGAATACCTTTAGTTACTTTACAGATGTGGATGAATGATGTGAAATATAACCAAGTGTTAAATCAGACTTTAGTTCCACCTGGAGTAAATCCACAAGCTACCCTGCAGTATACAAAGTCATTCAAACTAGCTGCACCTTTACCAGCTTTGAGAACACTTTCATGATCAATCATTATAAAACATATCATATATATTATTCTGAAATGGACCAATCTGCACAATGACTACTTTTACTGTCGCTACTTTCACTATATTTTGATGATAATACTTTTCTTTACTTGAGGAACATTTTGAATGCAGGACTTTTACTGTAACAGAGTATTCCTACACTCTAGTACTTCTACTTTTACTCAAGTACAAGATCTGAGTACTTCTACTTTCACTCAAGTACAAGATCTGAGTACTTCTACTTTTACTCAAGTACAACATCTGAGTACTTCTCCCACCTCTGATCAAGAGTAGAGAAGTACTTATTTTAGATGATAGTGTTTTTGCAAGTGATTGATGAAAACACTTGGGCACAGTCCTGCTGTCTGGTGCTTTACAGAAAAGCATTACAAAAACAACTTAAAATCATATTTACATTGACACCACTGAGGCTTAAATACAAACTCTTTAGATTGAAAGTACAAAAGGGCTTTTTGCTCAAATACCTTTTTGTTTGCAAATTGCTTGATTGCACAATATTTAGAATTATAATATAGTTTACATACTGTTGGTAAGATGGACAACTTCAGATGTTTAAATATATGCACTTCAATGTGAGAGCAACAGAAAGCGTTAATAGTTATTAAGTACAGCAAAAATGCAGATCAAAATGTGTAATGCTTATTTCTAACCCTAACCCTTGTCTAAACAGTTAAGTAGAGAAATAGAGTAAACTTATTTTTGGAGAATATTGTTTTTGCAGGTTTTTGTTAAAAACATTCTGCATTAGTACATAAAGGCACTCTTTTTGTCCTCATTATTCTAACAGCAATAACTTATAGCGTCATTAAAACATGTGCAATTAAATGTATGTGGCATAGTTTATATACATCAATGGGAGAGATAGCTAAAAAGAAAAACAAGGGCACAAACCAATAGTGCAATAGGGCCCAAGAGAGAAAAACAAACGTATATTCAAATAAGTAAGACAGCTACCATTAACCAGTTATTATTGACCATTATTCAAATGTGACCTTCACCCTCCTTTGGACTTCTACTGTATTTTTAACAATGGTCCCAACATCCTCCGTCTTCCTTCTTGAGTTAAAGCTTCTCCAAATATATGGATTAGTGTAATATGCAAACACTATATTTGTGTGTGTGTGTGTGTGTGTGTGTGTGTGTGTGTGTGTGTGTGTGTGTGTGTGTGTGTGTGTGTGTGTGTGTGTGTGTGTGTGTGGTGTGTGTGTGTGTGTGTGTGTGGTGTGTGTGTGTGTGTGTGTGTGTGTGTGTGTGTGTGTGTGTGTGTGTGTGTGTGTGTGTGTGTGTGTGTGTGTGTGTGTGTGTGTGTGTGTGTGTGTGTGTGTGTCATGCGTGTGTGTGTGTGTGTGTGTGTGTGTGTGTGTGTGTCATGCGTGTGTGTGTGTGTCATGCGTGTGTGTGTGTGTGTGTGTGTGTGTGTGTGTGTGTGTGTGTGTCCAACTAGTCCCATGATCTCAAATAGAGACACAGATTTAGACTTGGAGAGGAAAGGAGTAGAAAAGGACCTTTAGGAACATTTAAGGTAAGGGGAATGTGGTCTTTGGCACAGTGCTACAGTCTCTTGTGTTACATAAAACATCAAAAACAAACTGAAAACATCTTCAAACATAAAAGACCTACATTTGACATTGACACCAGTAGAATTAAAGTGCAATGTTCTCAAATGCCTTTATATGTATTGCTCTATTGCAGTAAGATTTAGCATCAGAGAGTTTAGCAGCTTGATGGATGCTGGAACAAACGATAGCTTCGAGCGCTTTAATTTGCACTTTGTCACACGCAGTCTTCCTCCTCGTGGCAGAGCTTCGTAAGCTGTCAGTGTGGCTCATGAAAACTCGCTTTTTAAACATATATTTCAGTCTCAAAACCAAACACTAACATTCCCAAAATGTATAAACTTTGTTATTATGATACGGCAACACATTCAGTGTGAAACATAGTTGACTCACAACAGTCACATTTGACAGGCTATACACTAGCAATGTCGTTACGCTGCCTCTCAGCTGCAATCAGTATATATATTGTACACACCTATTATAACAACCATACCTGCATTTCTTATGGTATTTTCAGAGGAGAAAGCCAATGATTGCAGACAGCAGCAGCCAGAGATTCAGAATTATCCTGCAGATTGATTAAAGCTGGAGGTTTTCTAGACAATTGGAGCATAGATGTCATCAAGGCCAATCAAGCCTGGCCCTATTCCTTTCCCATTACAAAGGCTGCACCTGATTAAGTACATCAAATGAGCAGTCGCACAGCTCCTGGAGCAAGAGGCATGCAGGCTGCTGCTAATTTCCAGGTTATAAGCTGTGTGTAACAGGACCAAATGAATAAGACCAGAGTGAGGCCAATGATTTGTCTCCGTGTGTGTGATCTGTATTTGATGGCAAGCATCAGGCCGCTGAGTAGATAGGTCGGACTGATTATTTCTCAGATGACAGGAAGAGAATACAGAGCTGCAGTGTAATATTTCGTTAAAATTGAAAATTGAATATCTGTCCTCCATGCTATGTCATTCCTTTAACACTGTGCCAATTAAAGGGCTCTATGGTGGCACAATCATTCATTTTCAAGAGGGAGATTGAAATTGAATGATGGCGCATGTGAAGAATGAATTAGATATGCTACAAGTTTCCCTTGTTTCTGAGCTCTTATCAAATAGAGAGACTGCATAGGAGTGGACGGGTTTACCACAAGAGCATGGCTGTTTGTCTTATGGCAAAACTCATATTTGGTAGCCGATTTATTTTTCATTTGCAATCGAAATTAGTTGGTATGCTAACAAAATTAGATACACTTTCAACTAAAGTAGATTAAATAACTAAAACAATCCATACATTGAAAAAAATGATAATGTTGCAATTAGGGCTGTGCAATTAATCGTATTTTAATCTCGATTACGATTTTGGCTTGCAACGATTACGAAAACAACGTAATCGAAATAAAACGATTATTATTTTTATAAAAAAAAAGAAAAAATGTAATTATTTTTTTATTTCTTTTTTTTTTTTTTTTGGTTTTTCAGTTGAATTATACTTAAAGTCCAGGGTAATCAACTGTTAAAAACGTACTGTTCACATTTTTGTTTCAATAAATGGATGTTTTCAAAGTAAATGGATAATCGTTTTTAATAATCGTGATATCAATTATTGACCAAAATAATCGTGATTAGGATTTTTGCCATAATCGCACAGCCCTAGTTGCAATCTACCCATTCCGAACAATTACATAATAAATTACTTACAATGTGCTAAATGTTGGAACTGGTCAAATATCAGACTTAAGACATGTTTCATCAAAGAATATATAGGAGTTTATAACAGAAAAGTTATTTCTTCCTGATGGCTTTCCTTTTCTCTTAACACTCAAAGTCTTCCTCGAAAACGTGTTTGAAGAAGGGGGGAAAAAAAGCAACTCTTTCAATCATAACCCCCTCCACTTTCCGCCCGAGTAACTCTGCATGCATTTAGTATGTGATTGTCATGATATGTGCTAAGTGCAGCAATCATTTAATGAACATGTCCATCACCGCGAAACAAGACGACATGAAAGAGAAACACCGTCCATATCGTGGTTCCTCATATTTTAATTATCTCTCAGGAGAGGGTATTTTTACACGCTTATCAAAACATTGTTGACCTCTAATGATTTCTCAACATATGAATGTGCTTCGCATGTTCATACTCCTGTCATGGTTTCACACAGGAATCTACAGTAACATTAAGAAAGTGTGGCTATTTTAAGTGTGGGTGCTATTGACTGGAGGCAGCATGACAATTCCATGCACAACATGTCAGAAAGCTCCGGGGGAAAAGTAGCTTTATCCCAGCAACGGTATTTTTAAGCCTTCCTGTTCATTTTCTATGAAAGAAACACTTTCTTCTAAACTGTGAAATGATCAAATAAGTCAGTGTGTGAAGTTCAATTCCATAAAAATATATAATCTCGTTTATTTCCAGCCTGAAGCTTGATGTGCAGCCGAGGGGGAGCAGAGCTATGTTTTCATATTTGTATTCCAGCAAGTACAGGGAAACCCTTTTTACCGTAGGCCATCATCAATGAAGGAGGAAGTCATGCACAAATCAAAACACAGGGCAGCAAGTTGGGATGGATGTGAGAGGCAGAGTGGGGGGGGACGGGGGGGGACGGAGACCAGCCGGCAGTACACAGAGAATCACTATGGTGACAGCAATCACAGGGCTCAGGGGAGGGATGCTTGGTCCGAGAGGAAGGCTTGAGAGGCAGCTGACGGAGGAATCAGCCCTCACTCCGGATGATCCGACTGACAGCTCCCCCCCCCCCCAGGGCTCTGCCGGACCAGCCCCCCTCCCCAAAGAACGCAGGGTTTACAGAACAGGGATGCAGCCCTTTTTATTTCAAGGCAAAGAATTGACGCCAAGAAATATCCCTGTCTTCCACATATCCTGCCACTGATGAAAATGTAAAAATGTGCTAATTTAAAACATGTATTACACGCCGCTTCCTCGACAAGTGTGAGTCTCTCCATATTTTTCCCTTATCCTGTTTTGCATAAACACCCGTTAAATCTTAACAGTTTGCTAACACTTCCTCTGCCTTGTATTCACTGTTAGCCCCTCTCTCACCCATTAATTGTCACCCTCATTTCTCTCTGTATCCGTCACTTCCTCTGCTGCTCCCTCCCTCCCTCCCTCTCCACGATGCTGGACACAGTCCACCTAAACAGATGGTTCAGTGTCAATAGGCTGCTATTAACTGGCCGCTCTCCCCACTCTGATCCACGACAGCAAAAAGCACATTCAAAGCACTGGGAATAAATCCACTGCCATGCTGATGGAGTGTGACACCACTAAGATTAGCATTAGGGAAGATGATCGTGAATCCCGTCTACAATATATTTCATTTCCCTATAAACCATAGGCTTTCATTTCTTGCACATCTTGCATACACTAGATGCAGAAAAAACACACTGTGAGTCATACTCAGAATACTCGCAGGTGTTATCGACCCAAACCAAAAATGTAGTGAATCACATCCTTGGCACAGGTCTCCCTAATCTTTTTTCTCCCCTTGTTTACTCCCCCTGTAGTTGGGATCTCCTGCCATGCCTGTGACTAGCTGCTTCGTCATCTGCGTGCCACACCCTGCCGAGGAAAAGGACAACCACCTGACCTTGATGCTCACATCAGCCCAGCCCTCGCCTCTCTGCTCTGCTGCCCGTTACACAGAGGTACCGCTTTCCCGAGGTCTGCTGACACTGTACATTATTCATTATTTGACGTGTTCCTGTCACAAAAACACCTCAGAGGAATTATGTTCCTCCCAAAACTCTTTAAATGTCCTATTCCACACTGGATTGTACAACCTGTTTTTGTAGGAAACATAATTAGATAACTGGATATTACAATAACAACCCCTAACCAATGTAGTTATCCCTGAATGTAATTATTATTTAGCAGTGAGGAGCTTATATAAGTGCAAAGAATACATGCGTGATATAGGCACACACGAGGAAAGAGGAGAAGAAAATGGAAAAGATAGGAGTGGCACGGGGAGGAAGGGATGTGGCGGCGATGGTGTCGCTGTTGCTGGAACAGTCTTCCCACCTTGTGGTAGCACGGCGAACTGTAGCTGCATCAATGCGTGAGCAATAGGAGGAGATGCAGGGAGGGATGGAGTGAGAGAGAGAGAGAGGGAGGGAGAGCAAAGGAGCGAGCTAGAGGGAGTGATACAGAGAGAGAGAGAGAGAGAGAGAGAGAAGGGAGGGGAGTTTAAACTAAGTGCTATGTTTTGGGACAGGCTAATCTGCTAGCGAGCAGTGTGAGGATCGGAGCGTATTGTGTGAGCCAGTGTGCGGGGGACAGATAAGGGAGCCATCCAGCCCGACCACACGACCCACCGACCCACCGACCGCCTGACTGCCTGTTTTAATGTGCTGACTCTGGGGAGATTTAAAAAAAAAGACCAGCATATTGACTCCTTAGACGTGTGCGGAGACCCTGGGCACAAACGCCAGCACAGCAGCCACAGCAGAGGTGCATCCACAGACAGGGGAGACAGAAAAACAAAAGCATCCCAACTCCAAAAAAATCAGAACATTTAAGAGGATTTTTTTATCCCCCCTCTTTTTTCAATTGATTTCATTTTTTCTTTCTTTCTTTTTTGTGTTCCCGGGGACTGACTCCTGACAGCCGCAAAGAGACCAGAAAACGACAGGAGCAAAAAAGAACCTGAAGAGAATCTGAACATTTTAAAGGACAGAACGACATACAAAGAATCTGAACATGTTCGAAATAAGCCGAACACTCAACGCCGCTTTGTTGAGCAATGAGGTAAAGACATTTGGATTTATTTTCTCCACACTTCACCTGTGTACGTCTGCTGCCAACCATTCTGTCATGTGTGTGTGTTGTATGTCCGTGTGTGTGTGTCGGTGCACTTCTGTTTGCTCAAAGCCAGAAGACAGAGGGGATGATTGATAACAGCAGCTGTTTCATATTTCCCCGGCACAATATTGGGTGAAAAAGCTTGGGCTCACACTCACATCCTTGCTCGTAATAACAAATGGAGAGCTGGTGCCTAGACTTTACATCCCTCTATTGTCACAAAAGGTAGCTATCAAACCCACCCAACATAGGCTTGCTTGTGAAATTGCCCACCTGGGGCTTGAAATGGTATGCGTGCCCACATGTGCACGTACAGTATGTCCGTAAGTGGGAGTGTGTATGTTCGCACATGCATTTGTGTGTGAGCAAAGTGTTCTGTAATCCCCCTCTACCTCCTCTTTCTTCATGTCCTCCCCCCCTCCCCACTCCCTCTTCTGTCCTTTACCATTCTCACCGTCCTTCCTACCTGCTGTTATCTGCTCTCCCCCTCTCAAGCCCCATCTCTCTCTCTCTCTCTCTTTTCCTCCCTCTCCCTCCCTCCCTCCCTCTCTCTCTCTCACTCTCTCTCTCTCTCTCCTCTCTCTCTCTCTCTGCCCCTCTCCTCCTGTGTCTGTGTATGAGTGTGTGTGTTCTGTGAGCAGCATCTCAAGATGATGGCGAGGTACGGGCAGCTCTCGGGACTAGCAGCCAGTGGCGTGGGCTCCGTCCCCGAGACGCACTCGCAGCTATTTCCCAGGGATCTCCTGTCATCGCCGGCCCAGATGGGCTACAGGTCACCCCTGGTAAGAGGATAGACAGACCGATATATATATATATATATATATATATATCTCCATCTCTTTAACGATCACAGGCAGGCATAATGCTAGCGGAAAGAAACTGGGAAATAGTAATAGTGTGTGCATTGGTGTCTGCGTGAGGAAAAGAGCAAAAGGGCAGAAGGAGAGCAAATCAATTGTGTGATTCTGCCTGTATCCCCAATGGATAGTATTAGTAAATATTTACATTGTTATGTTTGTTCAATTACGGACGCCTACTCTGTCTTTAGCCTCTGCCAGTCAGACTGTTATCAAGGGAATTTGAGGTGTTGTGTGCATGCATGTGTGCGTGTCGGTAATATATTTTGTTGGTTGTATTGTGTGAATTATGTCAGCGTGTTTATTGTTTGTATTTAAAGCTGAATTATGTTCCAGTCTGATTAATTGAATAGGCTCTAACGGTATAATTCTACCATTTTGAACTTTATATAGCATCTCTGAAATTGATTTTTCTTTCTCCACGCCCTCAGGGGATGTACATTTGTAAGACGACAGATTTGGAATGACATTAGATCATAACTATCAATCCAATTCAATTGCAATTTAACAACTGACAAGTCACATTAGCAGAGGAAGCTGGCACGCTGTAGATAGATGGGATGTATTCTGCACTGGAGACAACATTACCATTTACATAGAAAAGAGGACTTCAAGAGGAAAGGAATGAGAGAGAAAAAGGGGCATGAGAAAACCCTGAGCGTTTAGGCAAAAGCGTTGTAAGAGAATCCCTGACTCGCCGCATTAAAGCGACATGAAGCTGTGGGTGTCTAATCCGCTGTGGGCTCTTCATTGGTTCGGCTCCCCTTCAAACTGGCTCAGATCCACACCCCAGAGCCTCCCGGAAGCCTTCATAACCCACTGTCATGCTGCTGACTGTACCCAGGGGTTTCCGTCAACTGTATGCAAATGCGCGGCGAGGATAAGCGGCGAAATAACGCTCCATGAGGAGTTCGAAAATGTTTTTGAATTATTACACCAGTTCAAAGACGCCTGTCCAGCGTTGTGTTGTTATTACACAGCGCACAGATTGACTGTGTTTTCCAACTGCCCGTTCAGACTCTCAGCAGTGTTATCTGCTGTTTGCATAAAGCTGCTGGACCATGAATTATTTGTTGAAACCAGTGGAACTAATTAGCTGAATTCATTATATAAATGTGATTGACGTGTAAACATATTTTGATGCATCTTATCGGCGTTGTATTGACTGGAGGAGCTGGATTTGTGGTGATTGCTTGACAAGCTGATTCTAGGGTGAAATAAGAAGAGCAGGGGCGAGTTGATAGAAATGATTATAAATGAAGAACCGAAAACAATTCTGATTATAAGGTCCTCTGCATTCCTAGATTTATTTCTGCTAAAATGATTTATTTTGTGATTTTGCGAATTTGTCATCAATGTATCTGTGGTGATAAGGCATGTTCAATGTGTGTGTGGGCGACTATGGGTGTGTGTAAGCGCATATGCTTGTGTGTGTGTGTGTTTGAAAATATGCGTGTGTGTGTGCGTGCATGATTACCCTGGTTAAAAAAGACCATCGTTATAGTGATTAATGGTGCCTTCATTAAGCACAGCGAGATCATTTGCATACATTAGATAAATGTGCTGGAAGACTCTGATGGCTTTGCTGTGTGAAGCCTCTGAAGCAGCGTCGCGTTTGCTACCTCGGAAATACAATCTATAGCCGCAGCACAACTGTGTATGTCAAAAATGGAGTGCTATTTTACTGTGTTTGATAATATCACATTAAGGTGTTTTTCCATTTAACGCACCGCTGCCTCAAATGAATAAATAGCTAAATGGTTTCGTTCTTAACGCACAATTCGCCTGCGGTAAAGTTTACCATTACTTCCCTTGGATACACTGTGTATTCAGTTTGTTTAGAGCATCTTGTGTGTGTGTGTGTGTGTGTGCATGTTGTGTATCCTTCAAGCTGTATGATGGTGCATTTAAAAGAGCATTCAAACTATTACATTCAAAACCCACCAGAAGGAGGAGAGATTGCAATTAATCAAATTCAGACTGATATTCTTCGGGTTCAAAATGAGCATCCGCGCTATCATTTAACAGCATTAGGATGAATCCCAGCCATGTCACCCTTCACAAAGCGGGGAGAACTAAAAGAACATGTGAGCAATAACTGGAATGCAAATGAATCCATATTTCAGTCACTGAGATCTAATTTTCAAAAGCCAACATCTAAAATCTGCAGTGCGCCGTGCTTCAAAGCTGAATGCTGTTAATTTGTAGAAAGCTCCACTGATTACCCACTGCAGGCAGCTGCCGTTCTCCATGTGACACTAGGTTTTGTTTGACAACTCCAAGCTTTCCTGTTTCAACATGGAGAAAAAAAGAAGGTTTAATTTGAACCCTGCACGAAGAGGTTCATCATCATCATCATCAGCGCAACAACAAACAGACGAAGCAGAGACGTAGCTACGGTGCATTAGAAGCCAGGAGATAGTTAGAGGTCATCTCTATTTCATAACAATGATTAGCTGCTTCCATCTGCCGCTCGCTGCACTTCCCCTTTCCTTGATTGCTGTGTTCTCTATATCCAGGAAATTAGTTCATTTATGCTCAACAACCCCGCCGTCAGTGAGGCTTAAACAGGTGCAGCACAACGAGCGACGTCACAGAGGGAGGACAACGCTCACACTGAGAAAAACAAAGAGACGCAGATAATATAGGAAAAACACAGCATTGACGACAATAACAATAAGGCCACAAGTACAATGGGGCCTGATTGATGCTGGAAAGACAAAAGCAAATGTCATTGTTGGAATAAATGTTACATAAATCATTAGGTTACTTTTTAAAGATATACAAATAGCAATCTTAAAACTGTGCTCACAGTAGCACATAACATGGCCGTTGGTTGAACTGCAGTCAAACTTTTCAGCTTAAGGGAGTAGAACAAGACACTTGCTATTGAGCCATATCATCCCTATAGCATACATCAAATCTGATTATGACTCCACCGCGTCGTAGAATTTACACGCCACATCATAAGAACACGGGGTGTGCGTGTGTGTGTGTGTGTGTGCATCATGTCATGTTTGCACTTGATATGAGCACATGTGGTGTGTCAGTTACGGGGCGGGCAGAGAGGCTGAGAGACACTGCGAGGGGAGCCTACAGGGCTATGATTTGTTGGAAAAACTGTGTGTGTGTGTGTATGGGTGTGTGCTGGCCACCAGTACTGCAGGGAGTGCCGAGAGATCAGCAGCTGAGCCTGTGTCCCGCTGGGAGCCATCACTGCAGAATGGAGCAGGTGTCTGCAGGCTCATTCACACACACGCACGCACACACACACACACACACACACACACACACACACCACGCACACACACACACACACACACACACACACACACGCACACACACACACACACACACACACACACACACACACACACACACACTCTCTCTCTTTTCTCCTCAATGTCTTCTTTTTTTGTGCACACCCTACCCGATATTTTCACCCAATATAGCCTGCCTGCAGTTTGCCTTTTACTGCGCATTTCATCACACATCAACGATTGATACCTATTTTCTGTAAAAAAAGATTAGGTTCAACTTAATATTATTGCTTTCAACTAACCTAATACAGTAATGGGAAATGTGTTGACATAATATATTAAAAAAAAATCCGATTTTCAGAGCATTGATTCAGTAGATAAGAAATAAAAAAAGGCTTGCGATGTGGATTTGATCCATAAACAAGAAGCAACAGAATCTCCCGCTGCAGCGACATGAGCGCCCACGCCCACCCAAAGGTCACCTTTCTGTGTTCAGGTACTCCGACCTGGAAGTAATAGCCTGTAATTTCCCCCTACATAATGGCAGTGGCAGGGCGCGGGGTTTCAGAGTCTTTTCACCGCTGAATGTGCCTTGACGTTCGTGACCAAACAGCAGTTACTCACTGATCAAGTCACTTCAACAAACACCGAGGGATTTTTTACAGAGGTGGGTGAAGGGCACAACACGTAATCCAAAAGTAAACAAAAGGGTCGCCCCCACCGACGAAAATCCAAAGCAGGAGAATTTAAACTGCTATTATTCCCACTCTGATTGACAGGTCCTTTAATACATGGATTAACATAACTTAATATAAGATATTCAAGTTTT